TTTAATTTATGTAAAATTTTATAATATTAAATATATTTATTTATTTAATAACATATAAAAATTATATAACAAAATAAAACGAAAAAATTATCCCAATGATATTACCTTATCCTAAATTGGATTCTTTTTTTGTTCTTTTTTTAATCAGGAATGAGATGGTGGATCCACCGGCTCTTTTAACTTTATTAGGCGTAAATACAAGGATCGGAGGGTATTGTTATAGATGTTTTGTTATGTCTGGAAAAGGTATTGTAGAGATGTGACGGAATAAAGTACTCTTTATATTCTAATATCATTTTTTACTTGATAAAAAAGATAATAATTTTGATATTTTTTTTATTTTTAGATATTTATTATCAATGTTCTCAGTAAAATTAATTTTTTTAAAATAATTTTTAAAATACAACTCCATATTAACATAATACATAAAAAATTATGAATAACCTATTTATCTAAATAAAAAAAATTAATTCTCTTTAAATAAAATTTTAAATTTAAATTTTATAAATAAAAAAATAAATACTGAAAATACTCCCCTTTATAAAATTTGACACAACCTAAATTCAAATTAATTAAGACCCATACAACTTTCAAAATATCAGGAGATTCATACTAAAAATATACATAAAAAAATTTTATTTTTTTTAAATACTAATCTTCAAGCTTAAACTCTAAATCTGACTTACAAAATAAGAGTGGCTTATTAATACACATCCAACCTTTAAGGTTGTAATGGTGTTCGATTAAAGAGAGAAACCCCACCATGCTCGAACGCTTCAAAAAAGTAGGGGTCATCTCTGTATTTCGATTAGGAGGATGTTAGAGGTAACAGATGCTATCTATAATTTCCCGTTGACATCCAATTCGACACTGAAGCATCCTTGTTACCCAGATACCATTACAGTACAATTATTCACATAACAAAATGGAGGGCAAGCAAACCACACAAAAATACAGAAATGATAAGAGAAAGTTCATGAAGACGGTGAATGTCTACTTTTCGTTCATGTAAGCTTTCACCAAGTCAGCAAAAACTAGTAATCACTAATGAAAATGAAATTTGTAGTAATCATGTAATCAGCATCGCCAAAACCAAAACATTAATGCAATCCGCGTTTCCTGTCAAATATACGTGAAGGGTGTTGCATATCTAACATTCTACATGCATTGAGCTTATAGCGAAGTCAGTAACGTGAATCCAGCCATCCAAAATAAGATGTGTTGGAAAGAAGAAAGGGAGAAATAAAAGAAAAACAGAGATATATTCTAACTTAAATAAAAAGATATAAAAAAATGAAAATAAAAATTCTGCCGAGGACAAAAGGCAGAATCAATCGATTCACTCAGTTCTCCAGTGCTAGCTAATTAAGAAATTAAGGGTTTACCACCTTCTCGTCTGTACCATGAAACTCCCTTCCTGCATCCACAGCTTCCCTGCAGAGATAGGAAGATAATCAAGAAGGCATTTCCCTTTTTAAAATTTTTTTAAAAAAAATAAAAAATTACAGCGAGAAGAAGTGACAAAACAAAAGCAACGTGCAGTTACAAACCTAAAAGCATTTACAAGCTCCTTATTTTCAGGGTCGAGCCTCACACCTTCATAAAATGCATTTGCTGCTTCATCAAACTTCTGTAATAAAAGAAGCAAGTAAAAAATGTGAAAACAAAAAAAATTTAGATGGCAATCTTAAGCATCCAAAGATTAGAATGAGAGAGAACATGCCTGCAATAAACGCAAAGCAGCGCCTTCACGATAGCAAGCTTTTGGCCAGTCAGGTCTCAATGCTCTGCATTCCTTTGCATCAGCTAAGGCATGCTCAGCTTGGCCGAGGCGAATCCAACAAAGACTTCTATTTGAAAATAGTGTAGCATCAGTGGGATCTAGATCAATTGCCTGTATGAACATGACCAAACATGTTCAGATCATAGTTTAATAATGGGATAACTGCAAAATGTAAAATTTATTGTCTGCGTGATAGCTATTGGATTCTTCATCAAGAGATTGCCTTTAATAGCACAATATTGGACATAGGAGTGTTGATGGTTCATCCTGTTTTAGGTTAGTTCCACTAATTGGTAAGAAAAGGGGGTCAATCTCTAAATTCATTTCAGATTCTAAATCAGAAGATAAAAAACCTAAATTGTGGTGAATGAATAAAAAGCATATCCAAATAACAAACCCAACAATGGCTAGAGATTCCTGCTTGGTAATGTTTATTAGTTGTCAATTTAACCCACTAATAAAATAATGAAGGATTAAATACTCATCTTCTAATATCATATAGAGATTAATTAACTATTCCAGTTAGGATACCCATGTAATAATCCAGCATGAAAAAAAAAACAAAAAGCACTCCTGAGAATGAAATTTATTTTATTACTCCAAATGAAAATGGACAGGATAACGGGAAGCTCAACACCATGGGAAAATGTTTTATTGATCTGCCTAAACTTGTTATAGGTTAATTGTCAGGAGCCCCAAGTTTTGGCAGAAAATACACCTTGGTCCAACAACTTCAAAAAGCCTATATCACTTCACACCCATGAATAATGATAAAGCTTATACTCACTTGAATTGCATATATAATCTTTGGCCTAAAGTGCATTTTTTGCTAAAATTCAAAGCTTTTTTTTGTATTGTCCCTTTTTTATACAAAAAGTCCCATTCTTTCTCATCAATGGACTAGATGAGGAAAAACTCCCAATCTTTTGCTGAATAATTGGAAATATTATATATGTGATTGCAGAGTAACAATAAACTGCTGAAAAAAACAAATAAAATAAATAAACTCACTTGTGTATATGCATCTATAGCCATTTGATAATCCTGTCTTTTGAAAGCCTCATCTCCTCTAGATTTTGATTCTGCAGCTTTTTTCTTCACT